GGGGTAAGAACCGAGGCATAATAATAGTTATGCTACTCTAGCGAAGTAATCCTCGGAGGTAATGTCATTTCAATTTTTCACCATTCTCCTTCTACACACTACTACTACTACTACTACTACTACTAATAATAATAATAATAATAATTCTTTTCTTTTCTGGTTCATACTCATTTCTTTACAGGTCCCTACCATAGACCTAAGTTTAGAAATGACGTCATGGCATTTTCAAATGAGCATTTTTTGAGGGAACAAAAATAAAAAAAAATAACATCATACGCATTTTACATAGATAAATCTCTTCGTAATGTGTGAGCTGTACTTGTGAGTACAATTCTTTGTATTTTTTTAAGGCTTTGGCTTCCCGGAATTCCTACAATGAGTCTATCGGAACCTTTTCCAATCAATCCGGCGTCTCCAACTACAACTTGAATTTTTGGTGTGTTCATGTGCCACATTTTTGAGATTTCGATTTCAAGATGTTTGTATTTTGATAGTTTTTGAACATCTCCAAAGATATATTACCGTCTGAAGGGACTGCCATGTAAGTAAGAAGGCACATTCTGTTTTTGTGGTTTTGGATTAATATATCGAGAGGATTACACTGGCCTGCAATGTTGTCAAGGCCGAATATGTAATAGTTGATTTTAAGGCAGTTTTTTTTTATGCTGAATACAAAAATCATACTAATTTTTTCTAATCAGATCAGATTTTTACGATACAAACTCTTACTTGAAATGTATAGAACAGGATTATAACTCTATTTATTTTCTTGATGGAATAAACAAATAATGCTAAATTTAGGGCTGATATAATCGCAGAAAACTCACATTGTGCCATAGTAAAAAAAAAATACACTAAAGAAGCTATTCATGGATGAAAGGTTTTTTCAGGGACTTTCTCCTCTGCTTGGCAACCACCGCAAATCGTTTCAAGCACCCGCAGTAATCAGCGAAAAGTTTACATCCCTCTGGCAAGCGATCTTCCATAATGCGAATGTCTTGGTGAAAGCGCTCAACCTGCTCTTCACTCAAATCTCCACAGTTCTTTGGAAAGTAGTTTAAGTGTGACAGCAGAAAGTGCAGTTTAACTGACATTCGCACACCGAGTTGGCGGTAACTCTTCAGTAGCTCTTCAATTTCCTTCTCGTATTCCGCACTCCTCTGATTTTCCAGGAAGTTTGTAACTAGTGACTTCAGTGACTGCCTGACGAACAGTTCAGCTTAACTCAGTGCTTCATAAGACATTAGGTCCTTCATGAGTTATCTTAGTTGAGAGCCTTCAAATACACCAGCCTTGAATTTTTCCATGTTTATCCGTAGGAACGTCTCCTGGAAGAAAGCAAATCCGCTGCCTTCCCTGTCCTTTGCCTTCAGAAAGTTATTCATTACTCCGAACATGATATGTAAGGGTGGAAGCAGTATGTTGTACGGTTAAACCAGAGTGTGAGACTGAACGTTATGCGAGCAAGGTTTTAACCCTTGTCTTAACGACCACCCTTGTCTGACATAATGTTGGTCGTTAGCCATTAGAAAACAAGGATACACGGTGTACCCACCTTGCAGCTCTAGGACCAGTTCAACCATCTAAAGATCCATACAGATCAACCATTTGTGCTCCTGGTAATTAACAGCAGACAAAAAATGACCCATGCTATTGTGAGTTTCTTTCACTTGTACTGAATGTCTAATAGGGATTGATGAAATCTATTCCCATTATGTAGAAGAACTGCTTTGAGACTTCCGCTGGATAATCAATAAAAGGTCTCCATTCCTTGCATATTCTAAGCGCATTGTTTTGCTCAGTCCAGCAATGTTGTTGCAATAAATCAATGATGATATGCAGCAACGTTGAAAAATGTCTTAATTCTCTCTTACGGTCTCGATATCAGTAGAACGTTATTCTGGTGCCAACAAATGTTTCTCTTTGAGATTTGAACCCAGAAGTTAGGCACACTCTTTGAAAGGTTCAGGTCTCGTGTCGAGTTCTGCTTGTGTCAAGGGTACTGGCCGGTCGTTCTCTTCTGGCTAGTATGCCTCATCCCCAGCTACAACAGGCATGTCACTATGTTCGGTATCAGAGCTATATTCCATTTTACGATCTGGCTCAGAAACAGGAACGTCTGTACCATGAGGTATTTGTCTTGCGATTTATTCCTTTTAGATTTATCATGCAGAAATAGCAATCCGTATTATGGTATTCCCCCCCTCCAGAGCATTGGAGTGACAAATGGCATACTCTTCCTTTTACTATTCCTCGAATCCCTAAAGTTCTTCACACATGTTTTACAGCAAACTTGGGGATCCAATGGCTTATCCTGATCTCTAGATTGACTCCAAAGTAATCGCGATATGCCTTCTTCAAAAGGTCAGTGATTTTTGCTTGATGGTTCAGGAGAACCACATTATCACAGATATAACAGAACCTGTCAGGATTATTCTTACACTTCCGATCCATTCTTACAGGAATACAATTGTCAAGCTGAAAAGTGAAAAAAAAAATAAACCAACACTCAGCTCGTTGTTGACACTTGACACGGTACATTAAAATCATTTTAAGCTGAGGTATAACCCCACCTTCTAGTTATATGGTGTTAGGGAGTAGGATGATGTATTAAAGTTAGGTACACATACAACATTATATGCTATACTAAACATCAGGCACCCACTCTGACAAGTAGTATTCACAGGATTTTGAATAAGTGTTATTATTGTGTACAAATCGTTGCGAAATATTCAAGCACATCTTACAAATCAGACCTGACCAAACGCAACGAATGGTATTTTTGTATTCGGCATAAAAGGACGATCATATATCACTTGATAAACCTTTAACCTTTAGAAAAAAAATAACGCATGCCAGTGTTAGCTTTCATTGTTCTGTCCATGTGCATTATATTGTTATTATTATTATTGTTATTATTATTATTATTTTCCAATTGTTTATTGTTACGTTCATAGGCATTACTTCCTGGAAATGAGCTAACATTTACATTCTGTTCACCATTGAATAATTATGGAATATTACTTGCCAATTTGAATGCAAATTCCACCGGACCATCAACTTAATGAACCACATCACTAAGTTTATTCGTATTCTGAAAATATATATATTGTAACAAAATTAAACCCGAATCAGTGCAATAAGATTGTGACTTCCCTAAAGACACTGGACCAATAAATGCAATTTTTATTATAGGAATGCTATTAGAGCGACCAATACAAATAAAGAAAGACGTATGCGTTTGTTTCACAGATTATGCAAAAAGCACTTGACAAACTACAGCACAGATATCCGTTCGAACTGCTACGACAAGTTGATTTATTTTGTAAGATATTAGAATATGCTACAACATTTACTGTAAATAAGTCACCTGGATGCAGACAGCAAAAGTGTTGAGTAAGAAGATAAGATACATCTGTCCGGATTCATCTTTATAGCGAAGGCATTCTCAAAGAACAATAAATCTAACCAGGATTTATTATCGGTAGACACAATCTTAACAACATCTGATACAGAGACGAAACCGTCTAAGTGAGAAAACTCCAAGAACTATTAGACAAGGTAGTAAAGAAAGGCGAGTACTATTAATTCCGAAATAATAGAACGTATAGTCTTCAACAAGTGGTACAACCAAAGATCTTTTACAAAAGTTAATTTTATTCCTGACCTTTGATAATACATTTTATTTTGCTAATTTTCCATGCAGAGTATAAGGAGAGTGAATTTCAAACCTTGATTAAATAAATAAAAGCTTATGGGTTACCACCACATAGATTTGGCAGTTTCGCCAAGAAGTTGTTTCATGGCGCTGTCAAACAACTATACAAATGGGGCATAAACTGTTTTCACTCTTTTGTCTGACCTTTCCTCCTAACATGAAGTCGAGGTAACAGCACCAACCGTGATCTTCCCGGGCAAAGGAATCACTTCTTCTTTAGTGACTGAACTTTCACACACACACACACACACACACACACACACTTTTAATGTTTTCTTTCTTTGCATGCATGCTAGTGTATTTTCTTTCCTTTTTACTCTTTTTACCTTTTTTTGTTATATAAAAGCAAAAATATATAAATTGACTTGTTGAAATTTATTCCATTTCCTTATGGACATAGGTGTAAATTTTTGTTGCCACTAATTTTATTCTAACCATTGGTTGGTTGTTTTTGTTTAACGGTGTATCTACCTCTATGGGTTATTTAACACCGAAATCTAAATATTTCGTACTTAAATTTATGTATCGATTTTTGCAGATAATAATGGCTTTAGTAATACAAGTCTTACTAATTAACCCTCAGTTGGCAGAAGAAAAGGTTGCTCCATAGATTGCCAAGGTTATTTGAGCGTATGTAAATATAACGAATCCAACTATAATTCGGCAACAATTAACAATTCCAAAACATTATTCATTATACTACCCGCACATCCAAGCTTACAGAGCCGTTTGTATATGTTATATGTTATATCAGTTCCCATAATGGCAGCGAATGTTGACCAATTTTCTCACCGCTGAAGAAGTTACTTGGAACAACAAAGATATGTTTTTTACAGAACGATGTTGAGAATTTAATAAGGAAATATGCGAGCAACCATCACGTTTTAATGAGAAACCTGTTTATACTTAGAATCAAAAGGAGACAACTAATATTTGTGAAGGTACTTAATAAGAAAAGAAGGCTTTGCAATTTCCTCACGTACAAAACACACAGAGAGCAAGATTGATGAATGATTCATTTTCTACGGCTTATCAACTTTTTGCAGTTTATTTAAAGCGAGATAATATTTTTAGAATGTAAGACTTTTTTGTGATACTAATGGTTTTAGTGGTACGTGTCTTACGAATTAACCCATAGCTGGGAAGCGACGAGACGGATTCATACTTTTCCCAAGGGTGTTTGTGCATAAGTAAATATAACAAACCCAACCGTAATTGGAACCTCGGCTCTCGGATTAACAATTTCCAGGGATTATCTATTATACAATCAGCAGATCCAAGCTTCCAGTACCTGTTTTTCCCAAGTGGGCACCCATCTAGGTACTAACCAGATTCGACGTTGCTTAATTTCCGTGATCGTACGAGAACAGGTGTTTTAATGTGACTCGGATGTAAGTAGTCTTGGTGCGGTATCACAACGGAACATGACAATATTATGTATTTCAAAGTATTCTCTATTGCAAGTCTTATTTAGTGTCGAGGTGTAGGACAATGACGTGTTCAAATAGGTTTGATGTAGAATTGAAACCGTATTTCTTTTGTTTTACCTATTGTCAAATTTTACTGCAACATTATTTCCGTAATGATTGGAGTCAACACAAAATTAAAGTTATTTTTTTACATACACCCAACCATTGCTACCGCGAATTACATAAATATATAGTTTACATATAATCGAATCATTTTAGGTGTACAGTATATAACCCAGTCTGTTGAAATCAATCCGGAGCCAGCAGAAAAGAAATTGGTTTTATAACATTATCTCCTTAAAGTCTGGGTGGTCTTTGGTAATATAGAAGCCATAGATTCAAATATATATATATATATCGTAGTATGATTTTAATTAAGAATATAATTTTTGTACGAATATGGATATTGGTAAGTGAATGTAATGGATTCGACTGGAATTCGTACTTGGCTTTCCGATTCTTCAATCCAAACCGCTATCATTACTTCACCGTGCCTCCTCACTATATATATATATATATATATATATATATATATATATATATATATATATATATATATATATAATATATATATATATATATATATATAAAAAAACATTTTTATGTTTATACATTTTTTTATAGATACAAATATTAAAGTAAATGCTCTGTTTATAATAAAAAGTATTAAACAATATTTACCGACCTGAATGTCCGAGAAATTTTCACAGAAAATATTCGTTCTCCGACAGGATTCGAACCTGTATCCGATACGGAACCCTCATTTAACCGATTTGTCCATTGAGGAGCGTTCGGTTAGCAAGGTCGAATTTACTGTATTTAAACTTAAATCTTCTATGAATCTCTCACGTATATTCATATCTGCTCATGGCGTATCAAATATAAACAAATGACGTCACACATTATAAACTGGACAAAGTTCGACAATTATTTTAAAACATTTTTATGAAATTTTATAAAATGAATGTATAAACATAAAAATGTCTAATTTGTACATTTCATTATATATATATATATATATATATATATATATATATATATTCTAAATTCTAAATACCTTTATCAGAATCCCAAATAAATTGTTAATACCTATATTTATAATTATTAATTTCGGAAAATTATCTTGATTTTATAAGTTTTCGAATATAGAAGGCTGAAGAGCCACTCAAGGTAGAGGGTTACTGAAGAATGTTGTCTGAACGTAAAGTGTAAGAAATAAGAGGCGTAGTTTATGAGGATAAGTGGGAAAGATAACGTTTAACCTAGACATAAATGGGTTAAGTTGTAGTAGCCGGGAAAGCATCCTTTTGAGAGTTGGTTGCACAAGGTAGCTGTTCGGGGGAAAAAAGCTATTCGGGTTAAGCTCACTATTGGAATACGAAAGGAATGAGGGTTGTTCGCTACAATATACATGCCATGGCGAATCTTAGATGTGAAGGTTTGAATTGGCGGAACTAAGACATGTTGTTCATTTGAACACTTTCCTTGGAAAAAGCGATAGAATAGCGAGAGCCTAGCAACGTTTTTACGGTGTGTGGCACCATTTACCGAGGCAGAAAAAGAAAAGAAAGAAAAGAAGGCAAAAGAGAGGCGAGACCCAAAACGTGGATGATAAGCAGAACACCACGGCTAAGAGACAATGGATAAAGGATATTTTGATAAGTAACAAATGGTGAAAGAGTGTCATTACAATGACAGGGAAATTCTGAGTGGATAAAGGAATCGGGTGTGTTTTGGCGACGGCTGTGTTATCTGGGATGCGCAAACAAACTGCTGGTACGGGAAGGCATCTGATTATCAACCACAGACCGACTGGCCAAAGAAAAATCAAATTGAAAATGTTATTTCGATAAGTGACGAAAAACAGGTGGACTAAAGGGCTTTGGATAGATATGAAAAATTAATTGTGTCAAAAGCCGCACACGATGTGTCCACTGACCTATTTCTTTCGACGGAACATCTTTAGCCTGCGATAATAAAATTATGTTATCAGAAATATGTACCAAAAGGAAATGAATGGGAACTTAGAAATGTTTCTTTTCGGGGCGACGTCTGGCCGTGTTAAAAAGACCACCCATTCTGATAATTAGCGATAAGATGACTGACGAAGCCCAGGTGAAGAACAAGAGTTATGACCACCGTCGTTCGTATTGTCCTGATTGCGGCTAGAGAAAATGATAACTGCGATTAAGAGGAAGAAAAGGAAAAGAAAAGATACTTTTTTTTTAGTTAAGCAAGATATTTTTTCCTGAAACAAAGCCGCGGATTCGTCCACGCCCGACTAAGACACCATTGGTCGAGTGGTGATCACGTGACGCACGAAGGAGGCTGTCGCCGCCCATCCAGAGGATATGTATGAGAAGCTGCTACGAAGAAGTGGGGAGGGCAGCTCACGCCCCTCTGAAGTATGGTGAGAAGGTGGGAGTAAGAAAAAAACCCCAAAAATGGAAAAAAGTGTAAATTTCTAACCAGAAATAAAAGAGGTGGATATGTATTTAGAATTATCGAGGAACCCCCGACGACGACAAACCCACCGCGGTTTTGGTCGGCGTCCATATAAGCGAAGCCGCAGCGAGCAGAAATCAGTTCAGTTCAGCAGAGTAGAGTTGCAGCAGAGAGTTCGAAGCTCGCAGTGGAAGTTGGTTCCGCCTCGCAGATAGCTGACTTGAAAGATTCACGCACATTCCGGACTCCTCTTCAATCCAAGAACAATTATTTTGAAGAGCGACTTAGTTCCAGACCACCAAAATAGTTTTTTTTTCCGACTTTCGTCCGAAGACACACCGAAAAACCAATTTCTTAAAGAGCAAACAACTTGAAGCGTTAAAACTCGCCTAACGGAAAACAACGTGTCACAATCCATAGAACGGGTCGGGAAATAGACGCAGTCCTATGTATCCAACAACTAGACATAAAGTTTGTTATCCTTTTTTTTGATACCTTGAATTTTTGAGTTAACATTTTATTTTCTTTTATGCATATTTGTCTGGTGTCACCCCCGTTGAACCCGATTTGCATTACGGCCCCAACTACTGATTGATCTCGTCTGCCTAAGATCAATTCACAACGTGAGTAGGCAGACTGGGGATCAATGCAGTTACTTTGGTAACCAGGCGTTGGAAGCGAGTTGGGAACGACGAGGCTGATATCAAATCTAACCAGATTCCCACCCGAATCACCAAAAGGTTAGAACGTCACATTTGGGTGCCGCGACCGATACCAAGCCAGTTGGTCGTCACATGACGAGACTACACGACTGACGCGACAGGCGGACGTCACGTTTGGAGCGGCGACACCCGAACGGAGCAGCAAGGAGCGAACAGCTGTCGCCGCGGCGAGGACGTCACAGTTGGTGCCGTGCTAGACCAGGATAGGACGTCACAGTTGGCGCTGCGACCAGGGGACGACCTCACAGTGTGAAATAATTAAACATCCACAACGACGTGGAGGCTCTCTTGGCCTCTATCAAACATGGACAGTGAAGATCTGATCGGTCTAATCTGACACTTGTGTAGGGAGAAAATAGTAGCAGGAGCTGTATATGAATATAAATGATATATATATATATATATATATATATATATATATATATATATATATATATATATATATTAATACAAAACTGCATAATTACACTGTTTAAATTATTTAGGCGAATTAACAAAAACTGAGATATCCAAAGGCATAGTACGTATAATTAGAACAATCTACCCCCGTGGTTTAAATAAATGTTTTTTTTCGAAATTCCAACAAATATTACCTGAAGAGGGCCAGAGGTACAACGCTCGAAAGGTCGTTAAAGTGAGCGTAAAAATGAGGACAACAGTCTGAAAAATGAAAATCGTCTAAATAATTGCAATACCTCATCTCAGAAATACAGACAGAAGAATACATATGTATATACAATTTGTGGCATGAAGTAACTTCATAAATCTGTCTACATTGGTATATGTATGAACATTCCTATAATATGTCTATGTACCTATATTTTGTCGATTAGTACTTGTATACATTCGAAGATTTATTAAAACGCTTCGTGTAAATTATGACAGGAAATGACTTTGGAAAAAAATGAAATTAGTGTCTTCATATACTCAAGCAACTATGTAACACACCGTACATTGGGTACACTAAAGAGAATGTTGTGATACACTAACCTGCTTACTATCATGAATGGACTGTTCCTTTCATGATAAGTAGTCCTGGGTAATTGTCTAGATAATACTATTGCAGTGTCTCGTCTCGCCCAGTATTGAATGCTACTAATACTATCATGATTGAATCTATTGAGTTGTCATGCCAGACACCACATCACAACTGAGAGTAAACAAATCAATTTTTTTTTTTCAAATTTTTCGTCTTGTATTTTATATCTTGATACGCACTTTAATTTTTTGTAAAATCATTTCAACATATGCAAGGTGATAAAACCACTAAGATGTAATGTCTTACTAAGAAAACTTACCTGGGAAGAGGGTTCAGTAGTGATTTTCCAAGCGTAGCTCAAATGTGGCACAAGGCCGAAAGTATGGGGGCACCCAGTGAGGATCGAACTCACTACTCAGTCATAATTGAGCTAGTAAGATAAGCTTGCTAACCATTACACCACCTCAAGGTGCCCGAAGAGGGTTCAGTAGTAGAGCAGGATTCAAGGAGACAGAAGATGACAACTGGTGGTACATTTACATTATTGACGATTGTAGTTAACATGAAATCAAGAAGCTGGAAGAGAGTTCCACAGGTGAGAAGTGCGAGAAAATAAACCGTTAGATTAGAATTTACGCTTACACTGAGCTGTTTCATCAGCAAAATGATGGAACTATAGTTGTGTATCTAGTATCTTCCTTCTATGTGCCATGTTCCTTCCGGGAAAGGGTGATCATAGCTCTCCTCAATTTCCTGACCTTTGTAG